AAAATTAAAAAAAATATATATATATATATATATACACACACACATTGTCTACAGATAGATCTGTATAGATACATAATATTATCTAACTTGCCACATTATCTAACTTGCCATGACTTTGAGGCCAACCTGAGCTCCATAGTGAGTTCAAGTCCAGCCTACAATACATAGCAAGACCCTGTCTGAAAAATGAAAAGGGTATTATATTTTTATTACAGAAGTTTTGGAAAATAAAGGCAAATATAAAGGAGAAATATGAGTGACTATAATTTCACTGTCCAGAGATACCTATTCTTTTTGGCACATTTCTTCATAAATTTTTGTGGCTTTATCGATCACACTGATAAGCTCCTGTGTTTCCTGACCTAGTGTCACCAACCTGTAGTAGAGAGACAGGCTCCCAGAGCTGTGCCATAGGTTAGAAACCCTTGTGACCACCGGCTACAATCATCAAGGTCACTGTAGCTGAACATACTGACTGACATGTGCTGCCGAAAAGTATTGTTCCTTCCTTCAGGTCAGCAGCTCAGATCTATAGTTGTCAACATCTTTGAGTATTTTTCAGACTAAGAAGTTAATTAATTATTGAGCTGGAAGGGGCCTCGTAGATAGCCAGTGGTCTAAGCACCTGCCTGGCAAGTGCAAGGGTGCAAGGACTGGGTTCGATCCCTGGCACCGCATGCTGTGCCAGCCCTACCTCCAAGCTGCAGAGTGAGACTCTGTATCAAATACATAAATTATTGAGCTAGGGAGGTGGGGACAATCTTCCCAAGCATGTGTCATTACTGGTCTGGGAACCACTTATATCTGCTCACATTCCTGTGATGTTTCTCCTGCACTAGGTGTTAAGAATGATTCCTTTTTCAAAAAGTCTTAATGATGATCACACAGTGAACAAATAATTTATCCAAAGAAAAACATTTGGGTCCTGCTCATATGTATGGAAAATTTCTTTGAAAGGAAGCATCCTTATCCTTTTGTCATTGTTTGTTATCCAGTTAAAAGGAAAACAATTAAAAAAAAAAAAAAGGCTAAGGCTATAGCTCAGTGATACAATGCCTTCCTGGCAAGCACAAGGTTGTGAGTTCAATTCTCTGTACCAGTAAATAAAATGAAATGAAATATAAAATGAATAAAATAAAATGGCTTGGGAGATAGCTCAGTGGTCTAAGTGCCTGCCTGGCAAGCACAAGGTCCCAAGTTTGATCCCAAGTACCACATGCGGTACCAGCCCCAGAACCCCCTGCACTGGCCCCAGAACCGGGCATGGTGGTGCACACGTGTAATTTTAGCACTGGGGAAGCTGAGACAGGAGGATCACTACGAGTCCGAGCTGCATAGTGAGACCCTGTACCAAATAAATAAATAATTTTTTTTATATAATGTATTTTTAAAAAACTGTAATTACCCTAACATGACTTTTTACCCTATTTTTTTCTCCCATGAGAATCCTTCCTCCACTGAATTTATTTTATATTTTAGGGAAGGGTCTACGGGGTATTTAGGGTCTCACTACTAGATCAGACTCATAGTGATAGGCCTGTTTACGGCCTCCCAGGAGCTAGAATTACAGGCATGCGCCACCACGCCCAATCTCCACTGATTTTCTTTTTTTCTCATCAAAACACTTTATTGGGGCGACAGGCCGCTGGCCGCCCCGCACGGCATGCCGCTCCTGCCCACTCGCTCCCGGGTCCCCAGCCTTCAGCCCCGTGTGTTGGGGCCGGGCGTACTTCTCACAGGCTCCCGAAGTGGCAAGTGCAGCCCTGGCACTGGCAGCGTTTTTCGCCGCTGTTGCACCGGGAAAGGCAGAGACTGTCCTGAATATTTTTTAATGGTTACTTTTTTTTAATTATATGAATAGTTCATAAGTGACTCATACAGTGCTTTTTTGTTAGGAAGGAAGATTTGTTGCCATAACAACTTTGCACCCAAGTATTTGGTCACTTTTTTTTTTTTTTTTTTTTTTACTTTATGTATTTGGTACAGGGTTTCACTATGCAGCTCAGACTTGTAGTGATCCTCCTGTTTTCAGCCTCCCCAGCGCTGGGATTATAGGCGTGCACCACCACACCCAGACTTGGTCACCAGCTCAGTGCGCCCATTGGTCACATTTCTGACGCCTTCCTCTTTGCCCTGTTTCTTCTCTGCTGCGGCATGTAGGGGTGTCTCCGGGGTGGGAAGGTTCCCTGTGTGACTCTGTGGGCCTTCTACAGACAGTCATCACCACCATGACCACCTTGAAGAAGACCCTGGCTGATGAAGATGCCATTTCCTGTCTTGTGCTGGGCACTGAGAATAAGGGCCTCCTGGTTATCGACCCTGAGGCCTTCACTGTTTTGGCTGAGGTCAGTGTTGGCTCCAGCCCTGAGCATGCCCACGTTCTGGGCTGCATACCCTCCCTGTGTTCCTAGTCTGTTCTGGGTAGTACACATACATGGCAGAAAACTAGAAACTAGCTAAGCATAAAGAAAAAGATTCACATCCAGAAATCCCACCACTGTTAAAAGTTTTGGCATGTATCATTTCTGGACATTTTCATATATGGACATGGTCATATAACTGTATATACATCATAAAAACAGTCATGATACAAATTCATGTAATTTGCTGTTTTCACATTGCAGTATAGGGGCCAAGGAGATAGCTCAGTTGAATAAGTGCTTGCCTGGCAAGCACAAAGTCCTGAGTTCAATCCCTGGTACCACCAAAACCAAAACAAAACAAAAAAAACCCACATTGCAGTATAGCATTATATTCCGTGTCTATAAAGCCACATCAACCTTTTAAAAAGCTAGATCTATTATATAGATGCATTATAATTTATTTGCCCTATCACCTACTATGCATTCAAACTTATGTATGTATGTATGTATGTATTTATTTATTTATTTGGCGGAACTGGGGATTGAACTCAGGCCCTTGTACTTGCCAGGCAAGTACTTACTCAGCTGAGCTATCTATCTCCCCGGCCCCTCAAACTGTTTTTAGTTTGTCACTATTATTAGATTTTCTTGACCAAATGTCTTGTGTGTGCTTGTTTAAATTATCTCCTTACAGTGCAGCCCTGGAGGCAGCAGTTTAACTAGTGGATAAGACAAAAATGCTTTTGCTATCTAATGCTCAGTTTCCCTCCAGAAAATTGTATGAGTTTACCCTGTGACTAACAGGGTGAGAGTGAGGAGACTGAGACTTCAGACAAGGCGCTAACTTGGAGGAGTCTCTTAGGGGAGGGGGACAGGATGTGTGAGCCTTTTCTCTACAGATGGACATTCCCAGTGTGCCCGTCTTCCTGGATGCTTCCGGCCAGTTTGATGTGGAGTTCGAGCTTGCAGCCGCTTGCCGCAATGGTAACATCTATATTTTGAAAAGGTAACCATACCCATGGTCTCTGGGCCAGAAGAAACATCTCAGAAAGCTGGTGGTCTCAGGGGCTTGCAGACTAGGCAGGGAACTTTGGGGATAGAATTTAGAAATAGAAAGAGGTGAGGATTTCATAAAGTGGGCTGAGCCATGAGCATAGAGGAGATGGGGGACTTGTGAAATGGGGGTGGCTATAAGATGTGGTCAGAAGTTGGAAGAAATAGAAATTGTTGTATTTGTTACATAATTTTATAGTATATGTGGCACTTCTTATGCAGTAATTTCATATTTCATACAACATTTTTTGTGGTGCTTGGGATTGAATCTTTATTT